TCCCAATTTGGGTTACTTACCCTGAGGTGATTTTACAGCACTGCATTAAAAAAATGAAATCTAAATAGAATAATTTTTACAGTTCCTGGCAGTGAAGAGGAACAAACATTCTAGGAAGCACAGGAGCTCAAGCTTTCTGTGAAGCATGAAATAGAAAACCCAGCAGAAAATGAGCAAAATAAAAGCTAGTTGCTCATTAAATTCTCAAAAGAAAGAGCAGAGCTTAATGACCTCCCTTTTAAACTCCTGGGCTTGGGGAAAACTGCAAAGAAGCCCTCAGAGTCATCATTGCCTCTTTTGTGCACTTTGGCTGTTTCATCTTGATAAGGGAGATAAATTTCCTCTCACGTGGAGTTTGGTTTTTATGAGAGAAAAATGTTGCCACCAAAATAATTTACTGAAAAGTTTCTTTTGGTTCAGAAGAGTTTCTGGGCTCGTGTGTTCAGGTTATAACAGAACAGTGCCAAAACAGATGGCTCAAATACTTTCTGGATCACTGACTTGTAACTCCATTTTGGGGGGCTGAATTTTCATCCCAATTTAGAAATGGAAAGACTAAACTTCTGGCAAGAAATGAAAACTCTTTCTTTCCCATCTGTAGTTGGAGAGGGTCTTATTCCAGCAATAATGGTATTCTTAGCATGGCATAAATAAAGGAGAGAAAGAAATAAGCCACTTTATTCTATCTTCACAACTTTGCCTTTGGATTTATTTTATCTACCAGTAAATGTCAAGGTAAAAATCCTTGGTTATGTTTTCCATTAGGAAGCAGAAAACATGGATAAACAGAAATGAATGAAAATAGAAAATGAGCCTAAAGAGAAATAAAAAGGATGCACTGCCTTTCATCATTACCTCTCTTAAATGACCTTTCCTGGGACTCCATTGATGGAAGTGATGTGTGGGTTTTGTTAGAGCTGCCCAGCTCTGAGGAATTAATCTGTTGACACAGAGCTCTGATAATAACAAAGAAGTCCTTGACAAATAATTGTGTACTTTGGTCAATACAGCACTTAGGCTCTTTTCTAGGAAAACTCACTTTGCAGTGGAGTGAGATCTTTCTCCCTCTGAAACTCTGCAATCTAGCTGAGGAACAAAGAGCAGAGGCTCCATCTGCCCTGCCTGTAAATCAGGCTCAGGCTGGTAGCCTCTAGAGCAGGATGGATTCTCTCCAGCTGAGAAAACAGCTCCATTTCCATCTCCAAGCCTTCAGCTCTTGCAGGCTGTTCCCTGCCTGATTCCCTCTCTCCTGAGCAAACTGCCCCCATCATCCCCACGAGCTTGGGCTCAGGCCCAGCTGATAGTAAAAGGGTTTTTAAATCATGGGGATTAAGGGTTAAAAGGAAAAATAAGCTTAATAGGCCCTGGAAAAATAAACACCCTAAGCACATGGAGAACTAGCACTTGCTAGAACTGCACTGTGTAGCTAGTACATGATAAATGATATAATTGTTAGATGTGATGATTGTTTAGTAATTAAATATAATTACTGTTTAATCATAAGAATAATAATGAGAAACTGTGGTCAGTGACCTAAGAAAGTTCACGAGAAACTCGTGTCAATGTATACAATAGAACAATATAAGTTTAATAATTAATATGTGAGTTATGTAACGATAGAATATAAAATACATTCAGCTCAAAAGCCATGTCGGAGTCAGATTTGGGGTTGTACCCCGACTCCCAGAGCTCTCAATAAAAGCACCTGCATATAATCATATCCCATGATTATGTGTGTTTCCAAACACTAACACAGCAAGGACAAATGCACAATTAAAACCCCATCTGATTATGCACTGAAAACTGATCTTCAGATCAATTCAGGAATAGTAAAATAGTTAAAATAGTTTCTTCAGACCTCTCTGAGGGCTGCTAAAAGACCTTACTAAGCCAAGTATCTTTCTGAAATGGAGTTCAGAATGCCTTTCTGAAAAGGCATCAGAGTGGTTTTTTTTTTTTTAAGAAATAATTAAAAGTGAACATGCTGAAATGTGCTTCTAGAAGGGAAAACCAAAAATAAGTATTTTGATGTGACCACATTTTCATCTTTTCCCTTGGATTTTTTGCTTTCTGAGATCTGCATTGTAGGGGTGACCCTATCCAAGTCTTAAAGATTTCTCAGAGAAACCTTAACACAGACAAAATGTTGGTGCCTCAAAACATTTTTAAGCTTCCATACACTGTAATATCACAGAACCTCATCAACACGGCCCCATTCACTTCACTGAAGCTCATGTGGGATAACCTGAAGATCAGTGGAAGATTTGTGTGGGCAACTGGTTCAAGTCCAAGCCCTGTTAGTCCAAAACCACTCATTTAAAATATATCAAACGCACCACTGTGGAAGTTCCCATTTCTTTGCAGTGAATATAAATCAATCTTGGGATAAACAACTGCTTAATCTGACAAAGAATGATGCCAACCCAACTCAGTTCCTTATGCTCTTGCTCTTCTAATCCTCACTCTGGGATGGAATTGATTTATAGCCAAGGCCAAGTCACTTGGCTTTTCTCTCTTAGCTACTAAATCTAGAAGGGGGAAGAGCCAGTTATTCCTTTTTCTTGGAGAAACTGTGGGATGAGGCAGCAGCAGGAGCTGTGTGTGTAACAGGGCTGCACTCATGTCCTCTCCTGCTGCAGCAAGAGTTGGGCAGAGAAACTTCAGAGAAAGTGGAAAACCAAGCCTTGAAGGAGCTTCACACATTCTAAAAGAGATTCTAAAGCCAAAAGGAGCTGTGAATTATTTTTCTAACCTCCTTGTATGCACTGAAAAGGCCAGAGAATTCTCCTGACTTGATGGTCCTCTGCATCCAAGCCATCACAAGACCCATTTTTACAGTACCTTCCCTCCAGCACAGGATATTCTACTTCCATCTGTCCCTTTCACCAGCCTAAAAAAAAACCAAAAAACAACAATTATCTGGTTTGCAGGAAAAGGCAGACTGGTAAAAGAAGACTACAACAATAATGGAAGAAGCAGAGTAAAAGTCACCCTGAGGTTCAGACTGAGATTACTCAGGAGGAGAATTCAGTTTGAGTGGCCAATGCTGCTCTTACCTTCTCCTAGGAAATGTGCTTAGAAATCCTGTCCTGGCAGGGTTTTCTCAGACACCTGGGCAGTTTTTTAAAAGTCAGCAGTGAGGAATCTGCCTTCCTGGTGCTCCTGGAGAGACGTGATGTCTCTTACCAGCTTTGTGTCACCTGTGCCAGTGCCACTCACAGATTTCAGGGGTGCCTCAGATGCTGCTCTGCTCTGGGCTTGGGCAGCTGAACTGGGAGAATTAAAAGCAGACTTTTATAGAATGAGAGTGTTTCTGGTGAAAGGACTCCCAGAATTTTCAGCTAGCAATTCTTCTAGACTGATGAATCCCCCTCTGCAAATGAATTGCACAGAAGGCCAGAATTCCTCATTTTCTGATGCAGGCTGTGGCAATCTGAATTTCCAGCTCAGATGGCAGGATGCTGTCACATTGAAGTAGGGCTCATGAAACTTGAAATGCCTTCTTCAGCCCAGTTCATCCTGATAATGCCATGTGATGAGTCCCACTGATATTTGGGATTTGCTCTTACCTAGGAGTCTAATTCAGTCTGGCACTTTTCCATTGCAAGTGAAAAACTGGCACATTTTGGGTTGGTGCCTTTTTTGCCTCCTTGGTAGAAATAATCCAAGCATGGCTTTGAGCTGATAGAGAACCTCAAGATTCAGCAGCAGAATTGCAGAGAGAAGTTTTCTTTCTGTGGGTGAAGGTCACCTCCATTCACCTCCTGCTGAGCAGAGACTGAACATCTCTTTGTGCTACTGAAGAGCAGGGCAGTCACCACTGTGAGGAGTTTAAAATTCAACTCAAACCACAGTTATAGAGCTGCTTTTGTCTCTGATAAATAAAGCATGAACCAGTACCAAGCTCTTAAAATGACAAAAAACAAATCTGAGAAGAACAAACACACAGGCTGCAGTGCTTTGATTACTTCTTGTACTCCCCAGGGCCCTGCTCTGCTGAGGAAATAATTTCCAAAAATGTTGTGTTAACTCCTAGAACAGCATTTTTGTATCTCACTTAGGGTGTTTACACAATTCCCACTCCTGCCAGTCTCCCAGTGTCTGCTCAGGTGTTTTATTGCTCCATTTGTTCTGAGCCATGGAACAGGAGCCACGGGGAATGCTCCGATGGATGCCAAGATATGTAAACATTGAAACATACCCCACAGCACAGGGGGAAAAAGGAGCATATTCTGAGAACACCTTTCAGTTAGCAGCTCTGCTGGGGTGTTTGTAAATACTCAGATGGCAATCACAGAATTGCTCCATTCAGGGGATGAAAAATGCCAGGAGCTCTTGGAATTATGTGTGAGATAAATGTTTTCTCCCAAGCTGTGGGACCCCAGCAGTTGTGTAGTTCTGATGACTCTGGGACAGACCCATGGCTTGTAAGCTGCCCTGCTTTAAGCTCTGAAAGCATCTCCAAACCTGCTCCCAAGAGGCAAATCCTTCCACTGATCACAGCCTAAAAATCAATCTTCTCTTCAGTTTGTTGGGTATTTTTTAATCTCCTGTTTGCACTATGCAAGGAAGTCACCAGCAGATGCTACAACAGTAATTAGAGCAAATATCAATTCTCAGTGGGGAGGCTGCAGCACAAATAATAATTACCCAGCTCAGCAGATTGAAAAGGGGAGTGGCAAATCCATCAATCCTACCTTTAGTTCCTCATTGCACCCAGAAAAGGTGAAAAGGGAGTAAAAATAATCTTCTGTTTAGAGCAATAAGGATGTACTCATTTTTCACTGCTGTTTTGGAAGCATTAAGAGTATTGGATGTTTGCTGTATAATCTGGTGTTTCTAGTAAACTTCTGAGTCTGTTGCAATCAATAGCAAAGCCAAAAGGCTGTTTTCAGTCAGATTGAAACTGTAAAATGTGCTTTTTAGGGTGTATCACATCCTGTAAGCCATTATTTTACTGACTGGTTGCATTTTTTCCCCCTCTCTTTCTTCTTTTCCAGATAAATTTTGTATTTCTATTTAACATAGTTAGGATTTTAATGACAAAGCTGAGAGCTTCAACCACTTCAGAAACAATCCAGTACAGGTAAGTCAGCTTGTGACTGCTGCTGTTCTGGTGTTGTCAAAGCTCTGCCTTGATTGTCCTTTCCTTGTCCCATCTTTGTGTTTCCAGGTGCCACTGTTGATGGAGCTCATAAATTAGGCCCACATTATTGATCTGTGCAGGCTCTCCAGAAAAGCCTTCCTGCATTTTTTTCTGTCCACTCCATTTCACTTCAGGCCTGCACGTACCCCAGCACACAGAGAACCCCCTCATTTCCATGAAACCTGAAAGATTTGAGCTCACGTGAGGAGAAATTTATGTCTTCACATAAGGGACAAATTTATGTCTTCCTCCCCAGCACAGGAAGGAGCTGGAGCTGCTGGGGCCAGCCAGAGGATGCTCAGAGGGATGGAGCAGCTCTGATGTCAGGAGAGGATGGGAGAATTGAGATTGTTCACCCTGGAAAAGGCTTTGGGATTACTTAATTTTGGCCTGAAGGGAGCCTGCAAGAGGGTGGGAAGAGACCATTGACAAAGGTCTGGAGTGACAGGACAAAGGGGAATGGCTTCGAACTGACAGAGAGTAGGTCTGGATGGATATTGGGAAAAAACTCTTCCCTGTGAGGGTGGTGATGCCCTGGCACAGGGTGCCCAGAGAAGCTGTGGCTGCCCCTGGATCCCTGGAAGTGCCCAAGGTCAGGTTGGATGAGGCTTGGAACAGCCTGGGATGGTGGAATGCATCCCTGTCCATGGCAAGGGGTGGCACTGGATGGACTTTAACCTTCCAACCCAAACCATTCTGGGATTCTGTGATTAATGTGTGCATACAGGTAATTAATGCTCCATTTAAGATGTAGGGGAGGGAAATGAGAGGTGATTGCACCTTTTCTTTCCAGCTGGGGCCAGAATTAGTGTAACCACTCACTGACTTGCATCACAGAACTGATCCTCAGCTAATCAGTGCCTTTATTTGGGTTTGGCTTCTCAGGTCAATCAGTTCCCATACCCAGCATAACCCCACAAGCACTGGGATGGCAGAAAAGTCAGAAGGGAAGGTGGCCTGGCCCCTTCAGACTCCAATGTGGGCTTAGATCAGCCTTAACAGTCCAAAACCAAATTCTCAGACACCAGGAGATGCTGAGTGCCCTTCTCTTATCATTTGCAGCATCTTGAAAGGTATTTGAAGGACGTAGGGACTAAGTAGGACTTAGGTCCTTGCAGTAGGAAATGGCACAGGTTATGTGGAGTGAGATCAGTCACTCTAACTCATTTCTGGATAAAGCCTCAGCATATCAAGCTGAGTTGCATCTTGATGTCCTCAAATCAGCCTGCACTTTGGAGGCAGTTTTGCTGCAGTAATAGGTTTTGTTGTTTTGCCTGATTCCTTCCTTTTGCTCCTGTCAGGGTTTTGTTAGTGAAGTTCATGCAGGGGTCTGAAGCTCAGACTTTTTTTTGCACATTTCCTGAGAAAGGAAGGGGAAAATACCCTTTTTTCTTGTCCAAATCTCATGCTACAAAACTAAAACTGGCCTGAAACAGCCCTGATGCAAACCTCAGTACACTGTTATCCTTTCTGCAACTTGCAGGGAAGCATTAGAGACATTAGAGTGAATCAATCTACAGCAAGTGCCATTGTTCTTGAACAGATGACAATGATCTTATCCTTGCAGGCTCTCTGAGGGAATTGTCTTTTCCACAGCCTAAATGGGAACCTTTAGAATTCCAGCAAAGCCTGGGGCACTCCTTGATGCTCTAAAGCAGAGCAGAGCAACCCTTTGCTAAGCAGATATTAAACTGTGTGGCGCTGCTTCCTTAAGGCTGTCACTTTGTCCTGACACTGGCAGTGGTTTTGTGCTCCCCTGCCTGTCTGTACCTATAATAAATAATGTTATGGCATTACTCAGGGATTTATACAGACTTAGCCAAATTTCAGCTTTTGTGTTTATACAATGACATGTTGCTCTCAGCTGACTCCACAAGACACTGTTACAGCACCAAAAATAAGGATTAGCCCTCAATAATTCTGTTAATCACTGATGATTATTGATGATCATTCTTTCACCACCTGCTTTGTGATTTGTGGCTCCTAAGACAGCCCTGAGCAGTTGAGTTGGGTGGGTAGGTGTTGCAGAAAGTGTTTACACTGCAGACAGCATCAAATGATGGGCACAGAGCGGGTCTCAGCTGAGCTGGGCACTGATCTCATCTCCCCGAGGTGTCAGAAATCACTCAGCAAACCTGCAGAGAATCCCAAGGCTTCAAGCCTCACTGGTAGGAGAGAAAAGGAAGAAGAGAGGGAGAGAGAGGGATATAAATAAGGTTCAGAGGTGGGGAAGCAGCAGGATTCCAAGGCTGTCCTGGGGCACTTTTCCCAGGTGGACAGCTCTGCTAAGGCAGGGAAGCTGGCACTCTTTCCATGCTCCTCCTTTCCACTCCCAACACAGTTGTCCTTCCCTGTGTTCACTTGTTTTCTCTTCCCTGCCCACAGGAAGGCAGTCAAGGCCACGTTGGTTCTCCTGCCTCTGCTTGGCATCACCTACATGCTTTTCTTTGTCAACCCTGGCGAGGATGACATTTCCCAGATTGTTTTCATCTATTTCAATTCCTTCCTTCAGTCTTTTCAGGTAAGAGAGCAGGCTTACAGCTCTATCTGCTGGGAGCTCTATCCTCTGCACAGCTCTATCCTCGCTGCTTTTCAGCCATGAAACTTGAGGCAATGAAGTCTGTGATGGAAATTATGGTTGCAAATAGCTTCATTCACACATGAATAATAGATGTACAAGTGTGTCATGTGCAGTGGAAAATCCTCTCAGGTGTGGACTGGAGGGATCCATCCCCCTTAACTCAGCACTGTGCTCAGCTCCTCACATAAAATCAACAGAGAGAGAGAAGATGTTTCATTCCACATGCCTGAGAGAGGGTGAGGGGTCCCATTCACATCTCTGGGCAGAGAGACATAATTCTGTCTCTCAAGAGAAGTGCAGAGAGAAGAGAAAGCAATCTTTATCTCTGCTCCATTTTTTCCCCATGTGGAATGTGGTGTGAAGGTTGTTTACCTGCAGTGATGGCTAGGTTGGATTCTGGTAAAGGTTGTTTGGGTTCAGTAAACAATGGGATCCAGCTGTGTTGGATTCTCAGCAGAGAGTCACGAGTTTGTTTGTTTGTTAGATAGGTAAGTAAGTAGTGAGTATGTAGAATAGCATAGTATATCTTTAAATAGTATATTAATATAATATAGTGTAGTTTTAATAAAGCTATCCCACAGCCTTTTGATCTGGAGCCAGACATCATCATTTCTTCCCACATCCAGGGTGTCACACTGTGACTTGAAATAACTCACAGAAGCAGGTTAGATGTAAAAGGAAAGGAAAAAAAAAGAACTCAAAAAAAAGCAAACTTTATTTTCTGACTCCACTATATGTACAATAGCAAAAGTGACAGTGGATTGGAGGATGAAATTGCCACCTCTCCAACCACACTGGTCAAACCAGCAGTCCATCAATTCTCTCCACCCACAAAGAAAAATGCAAAACAATCATTATTTACATGAACATGAGTGAGAAAACTCAGCTGAAATATGTAAATATCAAAAGGCATAAGAACTTTAAAAATCTCAAAAGAACAAGACAACACCGGGGTTCATCACATTTTTGATAAATCCCCCTCCTGAGGTGCCTCTCCTCCCAGAGCACTCACTGGGCTGAGACTGGGACTCAGTGTTGCTAAACCAAAGGGAAACATCTCCTGCCTGTTGGACTTGCTGCTCTATTCAGGTTGTAAGAGTCTCAGACAAGTTTATGTTTATTTAATCCATCAGTCTCACCTTTAGCTCCTCATTGCACCCAGAAAAAAGTGAAAACGGAGTCAAAATAAGCTCCTTGTTAGGGCAATAAGGATGTGCTGTTCTGTGCAGCCAACAGCTCAATTTTTAATCAATATTAGAAGTCACGTAATGTGGTGATTTTTTAAGGGATGTTAGGAATTTATTTTAACTATTTTCTCCAATTCAGAAAAGACATGGTGAGTATGAGTTCAGAACTAGTTGGTTAAAAAGAAAGGAAAACAACAAAACATTAACCAGCTGCTTTCAGAGAAATTCCTAATATTTTGCCTTCAAAGATCATTTGTGTTTCAAGGGATGGATTGCTGAACACACTTTTGGTAGGAATTTAACAGGCAGGAAAGGGCCAGTGTTTCAGACAGGCTTGAGCTGTGTTGCCCAGCCTGCTCTGGTGCACTCCCTGCATCAGCCCCATCTCCTCCCTCCCCTGAATTCACTGGAGTTCTGCCAGGATGGAAAAGGCACTGGAATCTGAGCAATTGCCCCAACTCTGTGAGTCTGACACAAACCCAAAAGCAACTGAACACTCTGAAGTCTCTTTAGCCACTCCTTTCTGCCCAGGTGTGTCCTACAGCTTTACCTCCTGAACTAGGGTGGGAATTTGTTTGACATTGATGTTTTTACCTCCTGTGAGTGGGAACAAGTGCTCTGATACCCAGAATATCAATACAAACACACAGCTGGCAAGCCAAATCTAGGGTTGGGTTACTGTTTTTACTGATTGCATCCCACCAGAAATCACAGCTGAATATTGAAAATAAAAAATGGCCCTTTTAACCTGTGAAGGAAGGAACCTTATCCTTTACCTGTGAAGTAATTCCATGCTTTTCATTCCCTAAAATGAATTGTATTTTTTATCTGCTGTTGCTCAGTGTCTCAAAAAAACGCTGCATTGCTCGTTAGTTCTATGAAGATGTGTGTAAGAAAGAAGCACAGGGAGTCTCTCCTTCATGGTGATGATAATGACAGCCCTACAATGATGGGCAGAATTCCACCCACAGGAATTCCAACCTCTGCAATCATCACAGGGGTTTAGTCACTGCTGCCAGCAGATTGCACAGAGCCTTTGAGCTCAGGTGAATTTAACCCATCTGATGATGCTCTTGGCCTCACGATGACAGAAACCTGGCCTGGTTCAGGGGCTCCGTGTGGTGGAAAAGTCTCTCCTCCAACCCGAGCTTCCAAAGAAAACTCAGCAGTCTCTTGTTGTACGGTTTCAAGGCAGTTTATTGCAAGTTATCTAAAAGATTTTCTTCTCTGGCTGCTGTGGTTTGCTCACAGCTCAGGCAGAGGCACACACACACCCTGACATCCTCTCTGACTCCGACTGCTTCTTCTCTCCCTGCCCAGGGCTGCTGCTGTCTTTTATATGATATATTACGTGTTACATGTTTACAGTTTTTCCCCAATGCCTATTACCTATATTAAATGGTGATTTTCTACTCTAAACCAATCTGTGAGTGCCAACATCACCAAGAACATGGAGGTGAGGAAGAAGAAAGAGGAGGAACAGGACCAGCCCACATTTCTCTATATTAAACCCTCTGACCCCCATGTATAGAACAAAAAAAAACCCTGTACAGCACTCAAAATTTCTTCCCTCTACTTTGTGACTACTTCTACTATAATATCTAAACTTTTGTGACTTCTTGTTCTTCCTGCAAGGTTGGTAAATCATTCCATGGCTCAAATCCAAAATCACAGCTGTTTGCAGCTGCCTGCCAGGGTCTCAAATGGTTCTGACCAGGACCTGGAATCTCCAAAAATGTCTGAGGGACATTATAAGTTCCAAGATCAGGAGACCATCTAAAGCAATTTAACACCCCCTGTGAGTGCTGGGATGTCCCCCCTGAGCTGTCAGCCGTGGGACAGCTCCTCTGAGGGGCATTGGATGCTGTAGAGATGTTTTAGCCTCTCTGTAGGGACAATCCCCTCTGTCAGCGACGCTGTTCAAATGTCTACCTAATAATTGCCCGCTTTCTCTTCTTTCCAGGGTTTCTTTGTGTCAGTATTTTACTGCTTCTTGAATGGTGAGGTAAGTAATTCATCACTGGGAGGTGGAATTTGTTTAGGTGCCTGATTACAGAGACCTGAGATCTTTTTACAGGGGGTCCCCGTCCCATCAGTCTCTTGTGGAAGGCTCTTAATGTGCATCTGAATTTCCCAGCCTTTCTCCTCAAAACTTTATCAATTTCAGACTATTACCTGTGAGATCAGGGCAGAGGGAAGGAAATTTTGTCAGATTATAAATTTTCTGTTCTTTATCTTAAAGACTTCTTTGAAGTTTCTCATTAATTAAAAATATGATTTCTGAGCATAGCTAATTACTTCTGAGCTGGACTTTTATTAAGGATATGCTGCAGGTGACCCATTTTTGTAATGCCATGCTGAGCTGAGTGAGTTTGTCCATGAGGGTCACTATCTCTGAGTGATCAGTGCCTGTTGCATTCAGAAAAAAAGGGTTGAAAACAGATTAAATCAGAATTAATATAAGGTACTGCTACTAAAGCAAGAAATGCTTCACTAATATCCCTCAGTGTTTGATTTCCACCCCAAAGTGTGAGATTTAAATCTTTCCCCTGCTTACACTGTCAATGTCTCATTTACCTGCATTAAAGTGTCCCATCTTTGTCCAGCTAAAATTTTAGTCTCCGCAGAAATCAATTCCATATTTCATTATTCCTGCTGTATTGATATAAACATTGTTTGTGCTGCTTCTTAATTTCATTGTGGGCTATGAGAAAGAATGGGCATGGCTTTAAAGCAAAAGTATGTTATTTTAAATATTTTAAAATTTTATTTTTACTGTATTTATTTTGTTTTATTTTACCTTAGTATCTTTCCCTCTTCCTCATTAATTCTGAGATGATGTTAACAAGAAGCAGCTCAGTTTTCTCACGTTAAGCAAATCCCATTTTTATATTCTGGCAGCAGAGTTCTCAGTTCTCTTTCCAACTTTTCTTCTATAAATTCCATTTGCCTCTTAAAAAACAGGGAATTTAAATCTTCTTCCAAATACAGGTGCCTGTAGAGCTGCATTTACCTCAGGCTGTGTCAGGCGAGGTTTGGGTTGGGTATCAGGGAAAGGTTTTTGCCTAGAGGGAGCTGGGCACTGCCCAGACTCTCCAGGGAATGGGAACATTCCCAAGGCTGCCAGAACTCCAGGAGTGTTTGGATCACACTCCCAGGGATTCCCAGAATTCACAGAACGACCAGGTTGGAAGAGACCTTCAAGATCATCGAGTCCAACCCACCCCAACACCTCAACTCAGCCCTGGCACCCAGTGCCACATCCAGGCTTTGTTAAACACACCCAGGGATGGGGACTCCACCACCTCCCTGGGCAGCCATTCCAGAACTTTATCACCTTTCTGTGAAAAACTTTTTCCTGATATCCAACCTGAGTTTCCCTTGGCGCAGCTCGAGGCTGTGTGCTCTGGTTCTGTCAGTTCCTGGAGAAAGAGCCCAGCCCCAGCTGAGCACAGCCACCTTTCAGGAGCTGTGGGGAGTGCTGAGGTCAGCCCTGAGTCTCCTTTTCTCCAGGCTGAGCACCCCCAGCTCCCTCAGGGGTTCCTCACAGGGTTTGTGTTCCCAGCCCCTCTCCAGCCTCGTTGCCTCCTGGAGCACAGGCTGGGATTGTTGGGGTATTCTGCAGGAGTTGGACTCGATGATTCTTGTGGGTCTCTTCCAACTCAGGATATTCTGTGATCTACTTGTCATATTCATCAGGTCTGCACTGTTAAAGCAGAACATTCTTGCAGATAGCAGGTTTTCTTAAAGTCTTTTTTCATTTTTCCACTGGTGTCTCAGTGACCATCGGGGCAGGAACCCAGGCTGTGTGATCTCACAGCCACTGTCACCCCACTTCCATTTTGTGGCATCCAGACTTGGAGCTATTGGCTGTTCAGGTTTTCACTCTTCTGGCTGTTCTGGCATTCTTTCATCCCTTTTTACTGGGAAAAATATCCAAACTTCCCCTTCCCTTCACCAGTCTGAAGCTGTTTGTCCAAAGCCATGAGCCAACATCCCATTTCCTGCAGCTTTGATGAGTTCAGACATAATCAAGATTGTCAAAGGAGGAGGATTCACCTCATGCACTTCTAAGCCTTGAGAACAATCTGCTGGGAAATCTGGACTGATTCCAGAGCTGATTTTCCAGCTGTATCACACTGGGAACAGGGATTTATAATTAAGTCAGTCTGAGGTGGAGACACCCAGCTTGGGATGTTGATTCATTTCCCTAAACTCAGATATCTGGTGCTGCTGGGGAGGCTGCAGAGGATCTGAGGCATCCCCGTGGCTCTTACCAGCTGACACAGGATCTGGAGAGGATTCACATCTGACTGGGAAGTGGGAAAAGCAGCTGGGATCCAATGGGGCCTCTCAGATGGTTCCATGTCAGTAATTCAAGCCAGCCAATACAATCAGGGCAGAGCTTTTTAAGCTTTTCATCAGCTTGGTCTACAACAGGTACCTCCATCTGCTCACCTGAGCATCTCAGTCTGGGCTGGCTCTCCACTGCATGCCCAGACACCCTGCTGCCATGTGGGCACCCAAAAAGCTGAATTTGGGAGGGAAATCTTCCCTCTAGCATTTTTTGACACCTAATGTGCAACTTTCACTTGACTGACTAAACCATGGCAGCTCTCTGACTGCTTCTTTGAGGTAAGCCATAAGTCCAAACCTCCCAAATATTAATATTGTCTATTTCAAAACAGTGAAAGAACTTTAGGCTCATCTTAATGTACTGTGACAGTGTTTTTTTGGACTATCATAAAGCTTTTACAGGATAAAATTTCCTGTTCTGTCCTAGCCTCAATTTTGCACAGCACTGAAGGAAGCAGCAAGCTCAGTGAATTTTCAAAGCTTTCAGGCTGTGTAATACATTGCCCAGAACACAAATTTGCATTTTATAGTACACTATGTTAAAAGCTGAGCTGCTCCCAGCCAGGCATCCCTACTAGTAGTGGTGGTGAAGGCAATGCTACTCAATCCCCATGAGGTAACAAATTTTGCTCAAAAAAGGGAAAAATAGCCTGTGAGGAGCAGCCTTTCAGAAGCCTGAGAGCTTCATAGAAATCACTGAAGCTTTGTTAGAATCTCTTCAGAGAGCCTGATGCTCCTGCCTCTGTGGTAGATAGGTTAACTTGCTGTCTCAGAAGGTTTTAAACACTTCAGGTCTTCCAGTTATAGCAGAGCTGGGTTATTAAATGCATGTAACAGTCTTTATCAGGTTACTCATCCCCCACAGTGCCAGCCTTGCTCTCAGTGATGACACAAGCAAAAAGCCTGGAAAATCCATCAATTTAAGCTTTAATAATGCTGTGATCTCAGCTGCATCTATCCCATCCCTTATTTGATGCACATCCTGCTGGGCACTTTCAAACTGCCAGTAACTGTCTGTAGTACAGCTCAAAAATTATGGGTTGTCCTCAAAAAAAACCCAAAAGTCCCCTTAAAAATATTAAATGAGTGCTTCATGTCTGGGAGACTTGTCCCTTCACAATTTATGTGTTTCCTTTTGCTATGGGACTAAAAGCTGCTGCATTTAGTGGAAGACAGAGGAAACACCATTGTGGGTTTCTCAGGTGTGAAAGAGTGGCTTTAGGGATGTTCTACCCCCTAGGAAACCACATTAAAAACCCTAATTTGAGTTTTTTCCTAAGGCCCAGTGTGTGATTTTACTGAGTTTTCTCATCAGGAAGTATTTTTGAAGAAGAAGGAGAATAATAGGAACTAAAGGAACAGAGTTGATGTTGTTTTCAGCAGCCACTGAGGGACCCATGCAAAATTCCTTCCCTGTCAAAGCTGGAATTGGATGCAGCCTTTGCACACAGTTGTGCTGGATTTTAATGTTCGCAGAATAAAGAGAGGCTACAATTAACCCCAGTCCTTTATGAGGAAAGGAAATTGTGCAATGAATTTACTGCTTGAAGTGCACATAGAGATTTTGCAGTGAGATTTAGTAAACGTTGAGGCTATTTCTCAATCTGATGTGAAAATCATTTGGTTTGGGTACAGGGAAAGCATTATTAGCAGTTACAGGAATCTGAGCAAATGGCAGAAATATTACTTAAGGCTGCATTTTGATAGAGTCACAGAAAATGGAACCATGTGTCCTGACAAACTTGCATGAAGTGAAAAATAAAGAGGAAAATTCTGCTGGCTCTGGTAGCTTTATCCTGTACCCCTCAGTCCAGTGCCCAGTATCTGAGCAGCACAGTCTGTGTAGCTTCAAAACCTCTGTGCAACTAAAACTGGGTTTAAAAATCAAAATCAGCACCTTAAAAACACTCAGGATGTGAGAGGCTGTTCCAAAGAAGAGTTTGCCTTCAAACAAAGTTTGAAGTTTGCCTTGCCTATAGAGTTGGCAAAGGTTTGACTTGATGATCCTTATGGATCCCTTCCAAGCTGAGATATTTTGGGATTCTATTCTATAAAGTTTTTATCCCTTCGTCAGAGTTCTGTCTGTGAAGTTTGAAAAAGTTTGAAACAGCTGAGAGTTTTTCCTCTATAACTTCCATTGATTTAAAAAAACATAACCTTGAGGTCTAACCAAAAATGACACCTTGGTAACCCCTGATACCACCATAAAATGTCCTGATTTTCAATAATTTGATCTCACAAATGCAACATCACTGTAGGGAAAAATAGATGCTTTAAAATTTAGTCCATGCAAAGAATTTCAAGGAGGATGAGTTTATTTCCTTTGTTTTTGTGTGGACATTTGACCTGGACATGCAGTCACCTCCCCTGCCCTCATTCCCACAGAACACACTTCTTCACACAGCTCCTGGACTGGCTTTGTTGGCTGCAATGAGAGAGACTGTCAGGCCCCTCAGATTAAAAATTATCTATTTTTCGAGGTCAGGATTGAAGGCACTTGTGACAGCATTCCATGTTCAGACTCAGGTGTTGATCATTTCTCATCAGTGAAACAGCCTCACAACCATGAGTTTGGCAGCTTTTCATTAGCAAGGCACAAAATGGCTAACTACCTCTTGTTACAAGGTCTTTTACAACTAAACTGTCCAA